CCTCCGTTTCCCCCGATCCAAACAGAGGCTAAAGGTAAAAGCTAAACATGATTACCGAGAACCATCTTCTAAAATTCATCATCTTCTGATCTGTTGTAATTGCGGCGGAGATGGGAAAGGTACGGAGGTAGATCGGACGGTAAAGAATTCTCTAAGTGCAAAAATAAAATTTCATAAGTAGAGCTATTCTACAGTCAGGTAACTTTGTACTTTGGCTTGTACCTACTTAACAACAAGTACCCCTTAAGTGAGTGCCACGTGTACTTTTTTCATTTAATTAAATAAAAAATCAAAACAATACCTGTTGAAAATACAAAAACCCTTACTTAAAAAAATTAAAGAAAAAACATTGTAAACTTTTAATTAATTTACTTAAAAGGTGCTTAATTATTCATTTCTTAACATTGAACCTAAATATAATTATATATCTCAAATACACTGTACAAAGAAACGAAAAAAATGAAAAGGAAAATTGTCCAAACCTAATTTTCCTCTCGTGAACACGATGACGAAGAAGAAGAAGAAGACAACTATTGATTCAGTCTGAAATTACAGGATTCAATTTAATCCGAAATTTTTGGGGAAAATCCAATCACACCAGTAGCTCTAGGCAATTTTCACAAGCTAACAATAAATTCAAGCCGAGCTTCTGAAATGGTCGGTCTGCTTGCGTGGGCGGCAGACGTCGTCGGAGGCGGCGGCGGCGGGCGGAGCAATGACAAGAACTATCCAAATTCAATCCCTCACGCCCAAGAGGTCTATCGCAAATTGGCTTCTCTTAACCATTCGATCCAAGATCTGCGGCTAAAATTGCAACCGCCCGACATCCCCCAACGCCTCCCTGACATCCACGCTCACTCTCCAGCTCAACGCTCATTCAGCTACCAAGAAAAAAGTATTTTTCCTTTTTTTTCTTTGTATTTTGTTTTGTTATTATTTTGGGGGAATTTTCTTATTTCTTGCCTGATATGCATTTGAGTAACATGATGTGTGGGATAAATCACTTATGTTTTTTTTTTTTTGGATTTTTAAAGATTTAGAAAGAATAAAACTGAAATAGCATTCTGGGTTTGGTTACAGCTATGATTGAGAGAAAAAAGGTGTAATCTTTTGTTAAATTGAAGTGCCTTTTTGCTCGAATTACAAAAATTCAGGAGAAGCTGCAGAAAGCATATTTGCTTCGAAGTAAGCTAAACGTTGGAGTTTGTCTACCTCACTATTCTCATATGTTTACTCCCTGATACAATAATCATCTCGGTTCTTATTGGTTCACCATGTAACATCCAGCATTTTTATTCTTATTGTATTTGACCTGAAGATAGTCGTTATGGGGAAAATCCAAACAGACTTCAAGGCACACACAATTTCAGGTGACTGTTGGAGGATGCTAAGCGTAGAACCATGATTAGCCTATGAAATTCTTTAAAAGCACTTTCATGGTTTATATTAGCTTTTGACATTCTATCCTCAAATTGATCTCAGGTGATATTGAAGCCTGACCCTGGAAATTCACAGGACTTGTTTATTCGGAGTTTAGCGGCCATAGGTTCTATGTCACACCACTTACAATGATAATATCTGTCATGACGATCACTGTTATGACAAGATTGAAACTATTTCACGTATGTTTTTACTCCTGACCTACAATTTCCACTTAATGGTTGACAAAAGTTAACGTAAATGGCCATGATCTTCGTTTTGTCGAGGACAATTGGGAAATCCCGGTAAGGGCTTTGAATTAATTGCTTTACATAATATAGACTACACATATCTGGTACATAACATAATTCTCAGGTTGCGTGGGGGGAATATTTAGACCTCATTCTGTGCAGCTTAAAGTTTTGTTAGTTCAGCTTGCTGCTCCGTTATGTGTTAATATATTACTTATGTTGTGGTTTATTTTATTTAATTTTGTTTTTTGGAAGGTCTTAAGTACCTGGGGCTTGGGCTGGGAAATTTGGATGGATGGGATGGAAATAACTCAATTTACTTACTTCCAGCAGGTGCTTTTACCTTTTCAACATACAATTACTTCCCAAAGTTTCAAGATTATGACATTCACCTAACAGGAATATATTATGTTTTCTTTTTCCAATTCTTGTATTGGTCTTAGGACAATATCGTGTAATGATTTTCTGATGTCCTGATTTTCTCTCTCCATTCCAGGCTGGGAGTCATCAATTGATGCTTGTTTCAGTTTTGATCTTCCTTGAGCTGGCTGGTTATGGCGAACTATGGTCTTGAACGGATTCTTATGTTGTTTCAGGTTCCTCGTCTCTAATCAATCATCTGTGATTCCGACATTCTGTCTTATTATATTATGTTCTCTCACTCTCAGACATGATTTTCTGAAAGTTACTTGAATTGCTCTGCAGGAAGTTGATCATTTCAAGTAAATTTAGTATGCTGATGGGATAACATATGGAGAACTTTTTTCTGGAAATCAAAATTTACAGAAATCAAAATTTGGGATGCGACTGAAAAATTATCTGTTCTGAAAATCCGTTTTCTTTAAACAGAGTCTAACTACTAGGTTAGACATAAAGAAAACAGAGTATCAAACAAGCATGCAATACTGGACCCAAGTCATACTAGGGGACCGGGTAAAATCTGATAATCTGATAATACTCGCATGCAAGTTCAAAAACTAAAAACTGAAAAGCAAGCGGAAGTAAATACTGTGGCGTAATAAAATATTCAGACTGAAGTATATAAAATCCCACAAGAATGGCAAACTGGGCCAAGTCCATGACCACAACCACCACAGCTAATCTCACGCCTGTCTGTCTGCCCTGTTATCTGAAAAAGATAATAATGGGGTGTGAGCACTAAATCACCATGCTCAATGGGAACCCATACTAAATTAAACAACAATAATAATAACAATATCATGATCGACAGTATATATATTCTAAATCTGTTACTGTATCTGAAATTAAAAATGAAACTGTACTGTAAACTCCCGACTATCTGAGCTGGTAACCATGTGCACACTCTAGTGGAGTATTAAGGCTATCTGAGCCACCACCAGAACATAGGATGGACTGACGATATCTGACCACCACCCTAAGCAGATATTGTATATACATACCTCGAACATGATATCTGTAATTATACTCAATGTAATACCCAGGCTGGGTCCCCACATGTACTGCTCGAAATGAAATGTTAGTGCTGACATGAACAGTTGTCCGCTCAAATGGGAAAAATATATAAATAAAGAAATACTAAGTACTATGCTCAGATATACTCAAATAAATGCTATGATGCTCGGTTCTAACTGTTAACTTATCCAGACTAAATGGAACGCTCTAAGGGTTTGACATTATCTATATTAAGTCTGGAAATAAATGATATGGCTAAACTGGACTGACTAGGCTCGAAAAAATATTTAAATTTTGGAATAAAACTCAGTCCGAAACATGAAATCTAAAAACTACTCGAACCACCGGTCAAATCGGCCAGTCCGCTGGCTGGCTGGACCGCCGGCTTGCTGTGGCCAGGCGGTCGGCTACTGACTCAAGCTGGCTGGGCTCGGTCGCGCAGGGTCTGTTGATGCCCTGGCGAGGTTGCTGGCGCGTCTGGTGCCTATCGGGTGCTGCCGGACACCACTGACTGCAACTATGCACGCTGGCATGCTTCTGGGCATGCATGCGTGCTACTGGACTCATTGGCATGCTATTGGGCACAACCAGGGTTGCCTGGCATACTGGCGTGCTGCTGGGCACGACCAGTAAACAATATTAACCTTTCAACGTGCCCAAGTTGTTGGGCTCGACATTACGTGCGCCGAGGCTGACTAGGCGCTGCCTGTATTCGCTGGGTGCCACTGGCGCCGGGCTACGCATCGGACTCTAACTTGGCGCTGTCATAATGCACTATGCCCATGCGCGTCGCGCGGCTGGGCGCCCGCGAAGTATGGGCTACTTAACCTCTGTATACCTAAGTCGGCGCTGCGCGCTCTATATGCGCGACCAACAACTACGACCGGACCTTACCGGCCTTCCAGAGACTTAATCCGAGAGATACAACATATGACCCAACATGGCCTAAAATACTAAAAAAATGCATAGAAACCTTGGTAGACCTCGGTTAATTTTAAAATAGTCCGAACGAGCCTAAATGGCACATACAAAACCAAAGCTACCGAACAACCATAATCTACTGCAAAACTAACTTAGGGCCGACTTATCAACAATATAAATTATGCCTTTTAAAACTAAAATGCTGGCTTTTACTCGGACAAAACTAAACTTGACTCGAACGAGCAAAATGAACTAAATTCTCAAATAAAATAATCGAGCACCTTGTCTTCAAACTTACTATAACTCAACCAGCATCAAAGACATGATTTATAAGGATTATTGAGCTATCAATCTTGGCTAAAAAATGCTTAGTTTAGATTTTTCGTATTTAAGCCTTAATAATTCAAAAATTCAAACCTTATACTAAGGCATGTGAATGGAGTGATTTCCTTACATGATCATTCTTACAATATCATGAGATGACTATAAAAATTGGCAAACATCAACTTACCTTCACCGAACTCGAGAAACGGCACTAGAGCCCTCATTCGGGCTTACTCGAGTCCTCTCGGGTAGCTCTCGGGCCTTGGCTTGACTCGATGACTATAAGCTGCCACTAAGGGATTCTATAATCTCTTTACACTCTATATTACCTAATGAAATTAGGTTGGTTCTGGATTCCTCAAGTAGAACAGACTGTAGCTCGGTACTAATGTTTAGCGCACACTAACTTGCTTCTCTCGGCTATCACTCTATCTATGACTAAGTATGGGATGTTTATGGAAAATATTCTAAGCAAAATGAAGTAAAAATCCTCCCAACCAGCTATTAGGTTATAAATAAAAGGATTAAGAGGTTAAGAGTGTGGTGGATTAACTTTTAAGAGGACCCTTGTCCTTAACTTAGGCTTAGTGGTAAATACTAGTAGCTTCGTCATAAGCTTATGTGTCACCATAAAACAAACTCTCTAATTAATCATGCTAAGAGATAATTTTACACTAATGGGCTGAAATTTACTTAATTAGACTTCACGAAACCATTGTACTCGATAATTTGGTTAGTGCGCACGATGTGGCTGGTACATGCGCATGCATGGCTAGGCATGAGGTTTCCTTAGCATGAAGAAATGCTTATTACTTGAACTTAAAATAGCTTAACTTAGGACTAAAATACTTAACTTAAAGACTAATAAATTTTTATAAAATATAATGTTCGCCTAGGGCTTCAGCCAAAACTCGAACATAACTCGACCGAATTTACTCAAATCCGACCGCGACTTAACTTCGATGATTAATTCGAGTATCTCAACTTCGAATAATAAGTTGACATAAAATAATTAATCCCGAACTTACTAATGTTCATTTATAAAAGTAAACGGATCGGAATTAATTTCTGAACTTACTCGGTTAATGAAATAAATTGAACCGGATATATTTTCGAGTTTAAAGTCGAACTTAAAGCTAACTAGCTAAGTAACTTAGGCTCAAAACTAATGTTGAGTATTTATTAGTAAATGCTAACTTATACTCGGAAGTTAGTATCTTTCCTTTATTAATAAAAGACGGGGCGTTACAATCTATCCTCCTTAAACTATTTCCGTCCTCGGAAATACTAAAACTGAGAGTACAAGTTTGACTAAAAACTATACCAAACTGATGGCATATACTAAGAACTCGACGTCCAAATCACGAGCTCTAATCTCCACTCAGTACTCTTCTTCTGACTTCAAGCATCGCCAATTCACAATAATTAGGTGAATAGTTGATTAATATTGGCTATAATAAGAACACCTTGCTGATCGAAGGTGCTCCATTGATTACATTCGATACTCAAGACACAATTCCTGAGCATACTGAATATCTCCTCCTGGCTAATTGTCGATCTTCAGTATAAACTGCAGTGGTGAGACCCAAGTCACTGTGATACGCACCGAATAACGCACATGTACAAATGAGGACACTAGCAATCTCGGTAACTACCCATCGTGAATACTTACCTGATGGCACGGCACGTTGCTCGCAGCACTTGCAATGCGGCACATCTGCTACTCATCTAGTGAGTGTGCCACGCCTGCACGCGGCACCAGCGAACGTTGCATTTGTGTCATCATTGTAGTTTGTACTCACATTTCTAATTGTATCTGAACTTCATGCTAGTAACCTCACCGTACTAAAATGCTAACTCCCCGTAATCTTCCAACGTACTATGACTCAGATATGGCTTCCTTCTTTCTTCCTCTCCTTTATGCAACGTTCATCCTTGCATGGCGAAGCTTCAGCTCATCACCACAGTGTTGTTTGCTGCTGTTGAAAAATCTTCTTCATCACAAACGAAAGATGTGTCATTCGACACGCTGAATCTGGTAATACTCACCTTTCCTGAGGCTAATTCCAAGAAAGTCTACTGAAAAAATAATCTTTCTTGTGACTTCTCGAATTTCTGAATTTGAGAATCGAGGCACTGGATGTACTAAAGAGGAAACTTATAAGTCTTGTATTATTAGACAGACTATTCTCATCTTTCACATGACTAGTTAACTCTTATGTGGACTCTAGAATTTCTCAAGACATCTAACTGGTTGTCTCGGAGTTTAAAATGTGATACTTACTGTCTTAGTATGCTTTGATAAGGTCCGACTTCAAGATTTCAGGTACATTTGGACTAATGATATGTACTTTAGATCTCCGTATTTTACCCGGCTAGTAACTATTATACGCGGACCTTAAACTCATGAACGTTGGCTTCTGACTATGTACTATGTAGGGCTATTCCAATATCAACTGGTCCCGCAAGTACTAAACAAATAACTGATCTTAAGCTTTGCCAACTATAACTCAGAGTATCTAACTGATAAGATACTTAACTTACTAACTACAAAGGTTGTTGCTTTCCGAAACTATACTGCTCCGGTCCAGCTTCAAGCCTCCATGGTATACCCGGCTAAGTGGATCTTATATCAAGCCTCCATGGTTACCCGGAATAATCACTCTTATTTCAAGCCGTCATGATATACCCGGCCTAGTGACTCTTATTTCAAGCCATCATGGTATCCCGACATAATGACTCTTTACACTAGAAACCGTTACTTCTAATATTAATTTGAGTAATATAATAACCTCTGTCGTCAGAATTTAGCTTTAGATTTGGTCCGGTGGTCTAAATTAGGAAATTTGAGTCCTTTCCATGATCTGGATCAAGGAATTCCTCTCTGGAATGTGCCAACTGAGTGGAAAAATGGACAATTTCGATAAAAAAGGGTTTGAGAAGCATGTCTGATAGACTTTTGCTAATCAATTGCTCACAAATCTCTTGACGAGTTGCAAAAATCAACTCGATTAGTCTTGAGTTCTATCTAGAGTTCTCGATTTTTACCCCCTTTCTAAAGTTCTGAATTCTTCTTAGAGGATAGATGCTATGCCCCTAAGGAAAACTTATACTGATCTTAGCATCTATACTGGCTGATGAAAATAATTTCTGATATCCTGCTGAGCATAGACTTAGAAATTTGCTTATAAATAAAATATACATTAGCACTTACCTGGTAGTCGGCGAGGCGTGAGCATGGTGTGGTCGGGTTTTTTCTGAAACTTTCTGACTCGCTGTAGTATTCAGATACACAAAAAGGTGCTCTGATACCAACTGTAACACCCCGCTTTCTTACTATTTTAAGAGTAATTTTTTTCGCAAAATCTTTTCTAAAAATATTTATAAATTTGCGAAATCATAACTCGGGATGCTACTGAAAAATTATCTGTTCTGAAAATCCGTTTTATTTAAACTGGGTCTAACTAGTAGGTCAGACATAAAGAAAGCAAAGTATCAAACAAGCATGCAATACTGGACCCAAGTCATACTAGGGGAACGGGTAAAATCTGATAATTTGATAATACTAGCATGCAAGTTTGAAAACTAAAAACTGAAAAGAAAGCGCAAGTAAATACAGTGGCGTAATAAAATATACAGACTGAAGTATATAAAATCCCACAAGAATGGCAAACTGGGCTAAGTCCACGACCACAACCACCACAACTGATCTCATGCTTGCCTGTCTGCCCCGTTATATGAAAAAGATAATAATGAGGTGTGAGCACTAAATCACCATGCTCAGTGGGAACCCATACTAAAGTAAACAACAATAATAATAACAATATCATGATCGATAGCATATATAATCTGAAACTGATACTCTATCTGAAACTGAAACTGAAACTGTACTGTAAACTCCCGACTATCTTAGCCGGTAACCATGTGCACACTCTAGTGGAGTATTAAGGCAATCTGAGCCACCACCAGAACTTAGGATGGACTTACGATATCTGACGACCACCCTAAGCGGATACTGTATATATTACCTCGGACATGATATATGTAATTATACTAAATGTAATACTCAGGCTGGGTCCCCACCTATACTGCTCGAACTGAAATGTAAGTGCTGACTGGAACAGTTGTCCCCACCTATATTACCTTGTGTTAGTATTTATTTATTTATTTATTTATTAATAAATAAATAAATAAATACTAAGTACTATGCTCATATATACTCAAATAAATGCTATGATGCTCGGTTCTAACTGCTAACTTATCCAGACTAAATGGAATGCTATAAGGGTTCGAAATTATCTATATTAAGTCCAAAAATAAATGATATGGCTAAACTGGACTGACTCGGCTCGGAAAAATATTTAAATTTCAGAATAAAACTCAGTCCA